TCAAAGCCTCTAAGATTTCCTTTTCCTGCTCAATGGCGTCTAGTGCTGCCAATTCCTCTTCCATGACTTTTAAAGCCATTAGTTCATCCTCTAATGCTTTCACATTTGGAAGGGTTTCGATTGATTCTGCTACAGGTTCATCCTCCTCGTAGTACTTGGGGGTATCATTGGGTCGAGGGCATTCTGTTTGCATGATATCCCTGATGTACCCAGTCATCCCACAGCGCAAGCATTCAAACCCATGGATCTTGGACTTGACGGTGTAGTGTCCTGGTCGAGGTTCTGCAGGGCCTGGCACAAGGTTCTAGTCGATCCACAACATCCTGCATAGCTAGTGGGCTAGTCGGCTAGTCACAAAAATACCCTTGGACTGTTCGCCTGCAGGTGGAACGCTGCCAGCAGGCGAAGATGATGTAGGTCCACCGGTTGCTGGCGAGCATGTGGAGCTATATCAATGAAAACATAGCCATGCGGATTAATATGCTGCAACATGGCATGGCATATACAACCTGCCTCCATCAGTGCGCATGTTTCCATCACCAGCTTTCCCGCCGGAGTCCTGGGAAGAGGAACCGTGACATGTCATGTGCCATGAATACGCGATTTTAGTGTAGCCTTTTCAAACGTCAGTCCTTTAGTCCTTCAATCTCATTTGGCTCAACAATGACATCATCCTCAGCCGCCTCACTTTCCCCATCCTCGCCCTCACCCTGAACATCACCACCCTCAGGGTCAGGGTCATCACCAGCCGGAGGTGGCAAAGAATCCCTGCTACCTGAGAAGGCCGGGCTTCGCGGATCTTGGACATCTTTTGAGATTGAAGGTGAATTAATAGTTGATAGCACGGGGAAACACGATGAGCCTAGTTGCCGCTCGTAGTTCGCGGGCTGGCCTCTGGATAACTAATCTCAGCAATGTCCATCAACTGCCGGATTGGTACCTCCCTTGGTCTGTGACCGCGCCGGGCCAATCGGGCAAAAATGAACACCAAGCGCTTGAGGATCCATGCCTCAAGCTTCACCGCTGAACCTCAGCAGGACAGAGGACTCGCTAACCCTTACTTATACCTCTTGGGGCACCTGCGCTATACATTAAACAGGGCCCCCACGTGAAGGAAGTGGTTTCCCCCTGCTCCGGGCAAAGTGCAAGAACATCTCCACTGCTTCCACAATAGTAGACAATGAAGGGCGAAGACCTCAGAAGCCAACCCCTCACTCATTTTAGCTTTTATAAGCATAGGAATTGCAATGATTTGGGGGGAGTAGCTTGCATCACTGGACACAGGGGACAGATGGAGGCAAGAAACCCAAATGGCGGATTATAGGTGCCAGGATCTCATAGTTGTGAGCAACTTCTGCACGGTTAAGCTCCCTGTTCTTGGCGATGTTGGCCAAGTAACCACGGCTCCCCCGGGCGCACAGTGCATCACTTGACTTCCACTCATTGAAAATCTCACCGGCAGATGGAGACGACCTACCCTCCATCACACCCCTAAAAGGTCAATCCACTGTGATCCACCTATGGTTTGGGCCAAAAAGTCTGCTGGCTTGAAAGTCGCAGCTGGTCCATGCTGCTTTCGTCCATTGCAACTCTTGAATGGCAGGTGGAACTGAATTGGATGAGGGTGTCTTCATGCGTGCACCTGCACATACACCCACCCATCCAGCCTCCTGCGGGCAATTCCCACAGCTGAGGGCCGGGTTTGGTTGAGAAACAGCTATGCGGCTGTGTGATCTAGGGGTAAGGGATGCGAGGGTGATGATTGAGGGGAATGCCAGCACAACGCTCGAAGCATCAAAGAATGCTCGAGATCTCAAAAACTATATCAAAACCTTGATTGAGCACTTATTACTGCTCGTTGGAGGTCCTAGGAACAATCAGACCAACTAACTAGCCAAACCCTCATCAACTCATCATGAAATCGCATTATAGATCATACAAGTCAATATAGTATAGCATGCATGGCATATATAGTCACCCTCACGCCGGATGACCGAAACCGTGGACCTCCTCGAACTCTGCCGATGACAAGAGGCCCGTGACGTCGCGGTCGGACGTGTTTGGCTCCTCCGCCGCCCAAAGGACTTGCCGGAAGAGCCGGTCATCGCCGGTCTCAGGAACATCTGGATGATACACCTGGTCAGAGTCTCTCACCGCCCGCGGAGCATGTGGAACACAACACCTTGAAGTTTTTGGTTTTGACCATCTGCTTTTACCTACATGAGGAGGATGAAGGACATGTTGAAGGACATGTGCAAAAAACTTCTTCAACTGAACGTAATTGGGGATGATTCTTCCTAAAGACGGAACCTTTCAAGTCCTTGAAGCTCCGAAAAACCAACCTCCCTCCAACCACTTGCTCCTTTCAACCACCTCACCCACCCCCTTCACGTGATCCACACGTCGCGCGCACACGGAACGGCCTTGGCCAAGCGTCGCAAGGCTCGGTGCACCGCTGGGCCATCGGCCTCGGGCGTGAGCCCTAAGACCTGACGATCGTGCTGGGCGCAGGTAGCCGTAGCAAGCGGCGGACAGGGTTGGGACGCGAAGAAGATCCATTGGTCAAAGCTTTTTGGAACAAACAAAAGCTGACAAACTCACATGAACCCTCTATTTGGGGGGCACCCTGAGTCCGACTGTTTCCCTCAAGAAACAGTAGGATAGTCTTGAGGGTCTGTCTTTTGAGTCTTCGGTGGGGTAGATGCATGAGACAGATTTATAAGTATAGAACAAGTTGCTCCTATAGGGCTGATTCACGTCATCGTGAAGGTCAGTTCTACATCCCGACACCCGCCGCTTTCACGTGTTTTTGCACGGTCTTCCTTTGGTGGGTAGACCTCAAACTGGCCGTTCCACATCGACGTCGATGAGTGCCTCTATAGAGACGACCAATAAACCCTCCCTGTAACAATCATCGAACTGGATGGCATGGCCCCTGAAAGACAATCTTCCTCAAACAGGGGGTTGTCCACTTCCATTAATTTTGGCAGGGAGTGTAACCTGCTTTGGCAGGCAGCTGCCACTATCCTAAGCTCATCTGATGTTGGTAGCGTCCCGCTACGGGTACAGGTCATCAGCCGATCATCGGTGTGCTTGACCGACGCCCGGTGCAAACTCGGATGGTTCCCATCAGATCGCATATCGCATGGCAGCCGTCGCATCGCGCTTGGCCGTTCGCCTCGCCTGAAAAGGGTTGCTGAAGCACCATGCAGCAGAGAGTAGGACTGCACTCATGCACCTCCATTGTGGGCTCGGAAAAGGTGTCAAGGAGAAGAACTCCTATAGCATGTGGGGATCTACATTTGGATAATCATTTTCCTCTACAAACTGGTGGTTTTTCCACTTCCATTTGTTCATTTCAGGCATGTTCTACCAACTTAGTAAGGATTCATCCGAATGTAGATGCTCCCACCAATCTACAAGCATACCTGGACCATCCTGTCTAGGTCCAATGGAGATCCCGAGGGCCTAAGTAGGGCAGTCATGGGCAGTGCATTGAAGACCCGATGAGTTGGCCCAGGTTATTCAACTCTCTGGATGTCTTGGTTTGATTTGGTTTGCAAAGTTTGCACACCCTAGCTGCCCTGACTTGATTCGACTTTCCATCCTTACTCCGTTACACACTCCCCGGGAGGCCTGCCCGCACGGCTCATCAACCATGGCAAATGGCCACCACTTGCAAGGGCCAGTAATTGCCCGACAGGTTGGCCCAGCCCACCTATACGAGTTGCAAAAGACCTTCAAAATCAGGCAGTGGAGACTTCCACCCCCCTACATCATCTTGCTAAAGCAAGGGGAACTTAGGTAGCCGAGGCTGAACCTTGAGTGACTTGCAAAGGACCTTGATTCAGGGGCATGCAATGCATTCAGAAGTTTCAGGTCGGCGAGGTTGGGATCCCCAGCGCCCGACCGAAACCACCAACTCCTGCGAAACACAGCCTGGGTGGGTCCTCTTTCCAACCAAAACCCTGGATACACGGGGTGGAGGAATTCTTGCAACCCGGTAGAAATACAAACTGCTAGGGAAATCTACCTGACTCCACTGCCAAATGGAATGTGCAAGGTTTGACCAAACTCGGATTGAAGATCTCGCAACTGGTATTTTACCGAACACGGCGGAAGCAAACACTATTTCCTCTAGATCCTTGCTGATAGTGATGTCCATTGACGTTGTTGTGAGAAGCTATGCTAGCTGTAGTAGGATGTTGTAGGTACCACAACCTTATCTAAAAACATAAAGCCTGTACTTGTGCAAAAAAGGCCCCGACCGCTCAGCTACCCAAGGGCTTGAGGCTAAAGGCAGCCATCAGTGACATGCAAATTGCAAATTGCTAATTGCCATGCACATTGCTAAGAGACCCAACTAACCCTATCGCTGCCTGATCGTAGGCCTGCACTGCAGGTTAGCGTGAGTCCTTGACTTTTGTGTATTTAGTCTCAGCCAAAAGGAGTGACTGGCACTGGCAATGAGTGAATGACAACATCATTTACAATCATTCCAACAGAGGTTGAAGGACCCTATAGCCTATCCCATAGGTACCCCAGTAAGGTTCTATAAGGTCACTTAACCTCTCTTCGTTCCTTCTAGGAATCCACTCGAACTTGGATTTTTGGCGCCTTCCATGAGGTCAGGTGCCACAAAGCGACGATAACCAGTGGGAGGCCCAATCGCCCAAACCACAGGCAGGCCCCAGAAACAAAAGAATACCCATCGTGATTCTAGCATTATCTTATTATTATTGAATAGATATAGGCCTTTTCAGCATGTTCAGCGCGGGTCGAATCCCCAGCAAGGGTCTCCAACTGTCCACGCTTCTTGGTCTCCCTTAAAGGACCCACATACCTTCTCAAAAAGGAGATTTATACAATTTATGCAGGCGCCAGGAGGGCCCAGTCATACCTTCTGAGGAGGTCCTTAGGGTGTACCAAGCCCCTTTTGGGCATCACGAGCTGCATCAACCCCACCGGAACCGCGTCCGCCCGGAGCTGAGGGACTGGACGCCTCCTTCGGACGCGCCGCCGATGAGCTTCGGGGTGTGGATCTCCTGGTGGGTTGGAGTCGCAGACATCGGGTTGGTCCACCGCCCAGTCGCAAGGTGACCTGGATGACCTGCAGTTGGTCTGGAGACGCGATGTTGTATACAGTCCTCAGCACAACCACACACATTAAAACTCAAAGGGAGTCAACCACCCAAGACAATCCCTTTGGGGAAACGTGGTGAAGTATGATCCTGTCTATTTTTTGGGTAGTGGTGCCCTACAGGTTCATGGTCCAGCTTGAGGCATCGTTGCAACTCCTTCAGTTCATTGAGCAGTTGCCACCGATCAAACACGAAAATCCTTTACTCCGCAGCCTGCGTTTGGTGTGTGTGTGTGTGTGGCATACGAAGGGCCAAGCACGCCACTGTGCTCTTTCAGAATATCACATTGGATTCTTTCTCATTTCATCCGCTGATGGACACACATCAAGGTTGATCCCACCTTCTATCTCCCTCTCCTACACTCCGCCCCGCGGCAGGCACCATCTTCAAGACACGCCACAGCGCTCCCCCCATCTCCCCCCAGGGAGCCTGGAACTTGTTCTGCAGCAAAAACTCCCGGAAGAGTTCGCACACGCCCGACCTATCAGTAAAACGAGATCGCTGGAATGGCTCAAAGGTAGTGTCTGGAATGGCAGCTTTAGACGATTGGGATTAGGGTCTCAACAACCCTCTGAGCCCATTATTGAAAGTTTGGACATAATTATCCTGCGGACCCCCCCCCGGAAATAGTTTGGTCCACCATTCTTGGGGGACAATTTTTTCGGCAGCACTGATCGCCTTGCTTCCCCTTCTTCAGGACCCGTGTTGTCCAGTGTTGTTTTTTCCCCCCAGATAGCTGCAGGCTATAGCGGTTCCAACTTCTCAATGGTGTGGCTCGGGATCGGCGTTTTGGTTTTGCGGGTGCTGCTGCCATGCTGATGCTGGTGCAGGTGCAGGCTGCTGCTGTGCTGGTGCTGGTGCTGGGTCGGCGTTTTGTTTTGCCAGTGCTGGTGCCATGCTGGTGCTGGTGCAAGCGCTGGCTTTGGATCGGCGTTTCGTTCTGCAGGTGCTGCTGCCGTGCTGGTGCTGGTGCTGGTGCTTTCATTTTGCCGTGCTGGTGGTGTGCTGGTGCTGGTCCAGGAATGACATCATGTCGTTTTGGGGGTGACAAACCTATACACCCGCTATCTGGCGTCTATGCCGGTGTAATTTTGTTTTTTGAAGGAACTGCCTGCATAGTCTCTCTCTCTCTCTCTCAATTTCACCAATCCCTCATCCTATGGTCCTAATGTACTTATCCTCATGAAGAGATTTATATAGTCTTGGTGAACCTCTCCTGATTGACCAGCCTAAAATTCAAGTAATTATAAATATCTCCGACTGCCCGCTCCCCTAAACAAAAAGCCTTTCTGGGGTATTCTGATCACTGCCAAAGGCTTGGCATGCTGGATGGGCCACTTCACCGCCACTTCACCGCAGCACCAGTCACCACCGCGCCGAACCACCACCGGCAGGAACGCGCCGCGCCGAACCGCACCGTACGAGCGCCGCCGCACTTCGCTCCAAGGGACTGGAGTCGAAAAATCGCTTGGTTCGCCACCTCAGTGAACGTCCGCCATCGGCCCAACAGTGAACACACCGAACGGAACGAGTTCCAGTGATCTCCGAAGTACGGGTGACCTCTCCTTCCAACGGCCGTCTACATTTTAGGGCTTAGCTGAAGGTTCAGCATCCCCATGGACTGGAAGGGTTGTGGGTCCTGAAACTTCAATCCAAAGGACTCACAGAAGAAATCACGGGGGGGGGGGAAGAAGAAAACACGTGAAAAACGATCATCCAAGGAATTTGGAGCCCATGATCCACTGGTCTTGTGACATGGCAGCTGGGTGCTGCCAAAGGTTGGGATGTGCTGCATGGCGTATCATGGTTTGTCCAAGGTGATGTTAGGGAGATGCTTGTTCAACTCCTTACACCAAGGGAGAGACTCTCACCCCTTGTGCTACATACAAAGACCATTTGTCAAAGGTTATCCACACACACACACCAAAAGCAAAAAATAACATAAAGGCTCTTATCTCCAACTGCTCATGCAGTTTTGATTGAAGCACTTTCTTGACACAAAAGCAATGCAAAGTTAACATATAAAGCAAGTCAATCAAAACACATATAAGTATAAGCAAGTCAAACTTGGATTGAATTCTTGCAGATCTTTGCAGCCTATTTTTCGCTCATGATCCTTTATATGCCCACCTGGCCCAATCCGTCGAACTCCGCCGATCAACCCCGTTCCACCGGGGCTGCCGGACCGTTCTCAGATCGATGATGCGATTGTCCAAGCGGACGTCTTGACCGACCGTCGGCAACCTGCAAGGTCCGGTGCAACCGGAGCAGGACTGGAAATAGACTGGACGTCTTGAAAGAGATGGACTGGAGGGGTGGAGGTTCTTACGGTTACTACAATAAAATATGCGGATTTTAAAACAGCCAAACAGGTATTTTAGTGTACCTCCGTGAAGGATCTGCTGGGGCCGCCCAGCCATTAAAACATGCGGAAAGGACATGCGGAAAAGCACTTTTCCTAAAACATTTCACAAAATGGCCTTCGCCGGCCCTACGTGGAGGCCTACGTGGGGGCTTTCACCGGCCGCACGTGGAGGCCTTCACCGGCCCTATGTGGAGGCCTTGGCCGGTCCTACGTGGAGGCCTTCACCGGTCTCAGCCGCCCGTCGCCCCCAAACATACGGACAAAATAGGAATTATACACGACCTCCGGGAGGATCAGCCCTGGGCCGCCCTCCACATATTTTAATGGCGTAACCGTATGCTGTTTGTATAGTTTTCGCCCACATGAAGGAGCTGGCAATGCATGCGTGCTGCGGGAGCAAAACAGATTCATTTTTAGAAGTGGCCCTGAGCAATGACTGATGGGGACATAAAACAACAGACTTGGGCACCCTGCGAGGGGTCCTTTTCCAGCTCGGCCTGCAGGACCGTGCTGGGCGTCGGCTGGGGTAATCGTGATGCACCCCTAGAACAGGAGGACCCTGCAGCTCAATGAGATGAAAGGTGACTAAAGCCCATAAGCCCATGAACTTCTAGGGAGCCCTCCAAACCTACAGAACAGATCAGAACAGTGTCTCCAATCACCTTCTGAGAAGGCACTTGGATCCCTAAGAAACATGCTTTGGACCAGTTTGGATTGGACCTACGGCAAACGCGATTTGTGACAGATCAGCTGGGGGGGGCCCTGCAATATGCCAACCATGCGCTTGGTTGGGCTGATGTTGTTACGGTCCAAATTATAGTATGCGTCCTTAGGGTGCGCACGCATGTGTTACACCGTGCCACCCTGCCTCACAAAACTAAATGGTTTCGGACCCAAATAGGGAATCATTGGGAAGTCTACCTATAGGGCTTAGGGCCCCAACCATCTCCTGAGAAGGTGATTAGACCCCCCTGGCACCCACCCCAACCACCTTCGAAACTAGGTATATAGTTTTTTTGCCCAGCCGGGCGTCTGTACACATGGGTGACAACGTGCCACCGGGAACCGTTCCTGCCTCACTCCGGCTGGCGTCTGCTAAACGCAAGGGCAAGGCCTGGAAACAGGGTCGTCACGGCACCTCACGGTCTCAACCACCACCTGACACTGGCGGTCTAGCAACTGGTTTTTGTTAACCACATCATCTTCACCCCAAAAAAACACCTGACTCTGGCCGTCATGCCGAGCCATGCAGCGCCGCACCGCTGTCCGTTGTTCTTCACCAAAAGAACACGCCTGAGAGCGTCCGATGCAAAAGATCTTTTCCACCGAAAGCTCCTGGGACACGGAACAACAAGGGCCCATGAACTGGAGGACATGTTCCATGGGGAAATCTGAATGAACGTGGTTTCATGTGATTGTTTGGAAACGATGCAGTCGGGTGAGGTTCCCACATTCTATGCACTGGTCGGGTGCAAAGCCATGAGAAGTTGTAGCCATGTGACAGCTTGTTCATGAATCCTGGCAAGTCAGGAGCAACAACGATCCTATTTGCCAAGCAGCAATTCAGGTTTGCTGGCTTCTTACATCATGCGCTGCTCTGCCGGATGACACATGATGACACCAAGGACTCCACCAAGTCCCATTGCGGGATCTCGTCCTAAGAATCCGGGCCCTCCCGGGCCCTCAAACACATAGGGTTTGGAGAGCAAAGGACCCGTGCCAGGGAGGGTCCGACCCTTGCCATGGAGAGGTTAAGGATTCTTAGGGTAGTTCCCCCAAAAAAAAATCTGCTGCTCTCATCCTGTGGCAGCACATGCGTTTAAACCAACAAAAAGTACTCCGGGAGCACTCTGGGCATGCCCGGCGACGTTCTGCACAGTGCAGGAGACGATGGGCGCATCCGGGCAAGAGACCTGCGTGGCGGGGGCGACGGAGATATTAGCTATAAATCAGTTGTCATACATGAGTTCTTAAGCTAATTATGTTATACTACATCAGTTGTCTACATGTTGAAACTGATCAAACTGCAGAACTCTACACAGACCATCACCGATCACCGCCTTGCCATAGACATCCACGACCGACTCATCGGGCAAAGAGCCCGAGAAGCCAGCGATGTCCTAGAGGTTGGGGTCTCCAGCTGTTGAATTAGTAAGCACTCACAGCTGGACAAGCATTTTCCACAAGCATTGTTGGGTCTCCAGCTGGTGAATTCAATATATGCACATGCATGCACTCACAGTTTCTACACAACATGGGATTGACGAGCTAACGGAAAGCGGCGAAGCCCAAACAGGCAGTGATGGGGTCTCAGGCTAGTGCGGTAATCTTCAAAATGTCCCAAACGCTCCACGTATATGCCCACATTGAGCATTAAACATCACTCCAATTGTGGGCAAACAGGCAGTCCCATTGAGTATCTGAGTATGCCTCCAATATGACTGGGGGTCAAAGCCTGGACCCCCAATCGTCGTTTGACGTCCCTATAGTAGCTATATGGTCAATCTGAGTCTCTCGATTCTTTTATAGCCCACTGCCATATTCCAAATCATCGACCTCTGTACTACGCCCCTGAGCCACCAAAACCGCGCGCGCGTTTCGTACGAGCGCTCCTGGCCAAAGGTCACGGCCTGGACAGTTGCCACATCCTCGGTTTCTGCACCGGTGCGAGTAGGCAGGGGCCACAGAAATGGGTCAACATGACACGTGTGGAAATACCAGCTTAACCCCCCAAAACGGTTCAATAGTGTCAGTGTACTAAATTATGCAATCAACCTGGAGAACCCGAATTCCAGTAACAATCAAAAGCATGTTTTTCTGCAAGTGATGTGGTTTAGTTGGTATGTGGATCCCTTTGCGTTGGTCAACTGCTAGGTTCCAACAATTTCCAACTGCTATAGGCTCAGACCCAACTGGCTCAAACGCACAGCATTCCAATTCTTGTGACTCACTTGGGCTTCTCATGGCTTTTCCAATTCCATGAGCCCGACGAGTACTCTTTGCAATTCGCTTTTCACCTTCACCACCTTCACCACCTCGCCCGGCCCTCGAATTCCCCGGCCCTGCGCCTGGCGCAAGGTGAGAAAGCAAAGCTTGTTGCCCTGCTTCCGAGTGTTGTGGACCTCGCAGATCCGCGGTCCCGCTCGCGCTCGGGGTCGCGCCTCTCCCCGGGCGAGTCGGTGGAGTGTCCTTTATATTATATACGACGTCGACGTGGTCGAAGGATCCAAGAAGCTGCTAATGGAGGAAACACCCTCAAGTTTCTTGCAAAAAATGGCAAGAAGATGGAAGAATTGTCCCGTCTTTTTCCTCACACGCCAGGACACCTTCCACGCTGTGGGTGTCCCAAAGATGCTCTCGCGGGCCTGTCCCTCCCATTCATTCGTTTGCACGTGCACTCTTCCCTGGTGCGGTGTGTGTGTGTGTATGTGTGTGTATCATTGTCTGAAACCTTCTCCCTGCTTTGAGAGAAACGGCCGCACTCTAAGTCATGTGGCTTGGAAGCTGCCTGCATTCTGCTTGCAAGATCAATCAGGAAAGACATAAAACCACCCCAGTTTGGGATCCACTTGGGTATTGCATGTTAAATCCATGTTAACAAGAAAAAGAACCTTCTTTAAACTGCGACAAGCTCCCCGGTAAAACGCGACCACTCCCATTCGCGTCTATCGAATCAAGCCGCTCGGGCACGGATCCAGACCTGAGAGTCCTGAGCAGGATACGAGTCGACCGCCGGACACTCAGCGGATCAGCCAGGACACTCAGCGGATCAGCCGGGAGCCAACGAAGATGAACGGGTAAGAAGCCGAAAGAAGCCGTGCCAGCGCGTGCCTTTGGGAAACGACTTACAATAGCTTTCCCTTCTTCAAAAGCACCTGAAGCAACAAAAGCAATCTGAAGCCACCCGAGCCAACCCAACGTCACACCTGCGAGGTCCCCCGCGTCCTTCATCTCCGGCTTCAAGGCACCGATATTTGTCCAGGTCCGCCCTGAGCCATGGCACGGGATAGTGGGGATGGGAATGGGATGAGTGGGGTGCTAAATGGTCACCACTTCATGAAGCAACAAAAAGGATCTCCGGCTGGGTGAAAACATCATCTGCCACAACAAAAAAGGATCTCCAAATTGATGCACATTGCCCCTGGAGACCTTTCAAAAGCGAAAGTATATCGTCAAACGAGGCTGGTGGATTCGCAAGTCGAAAACGGTACCTCTTCGAAGGGAGTCAACAATTTGAGCGCCAAAACGGTACCTCCGAAGTCTGTCTGAACCTTTGGTGGGCTCCGTTCAACACGACTGTCTGATGTCCGTGTGCGAGCGACGGATTTCACCGGGCCTGTTTGACCTTGGCTTTGGATGAAAAGGTTTCCAAAGCTATGCTCCTGGCAGCTTCATCCAGAAGGTAACACGTCTGGTATAACATCCGCCAAAGCTGTAGAGCCCACACACACACACACCAAGAAAGCTGGCTTGAGGCCAAGCGCGAGGGAAGCCACTGGGCGGCCGGCTTCGCCGTGTTTTTGGGTGGGATGCGACATGCAATCGGTCAAATCCAAAACAGCAAAGCAAAGGAATGTGCGATGCGATAGTTGAGGGTATACTTAAAGTGGCTAGAGCCCGTGATATCTCGAGCTGTTCAAGGAAAATATCAGCAGTTGAACCAGCTACAATCAGCTACAGCATACGTCCAGCTGTTCTCAGCCACAGGCGACCATTTCCCAGTTACGAGGTTCAACAAAAAACGTTCCATGCAGGCATCTGGAAAGAGTGTCAATTCCAATGAGTGCTGCCTTGAGGACCTATAATACTTCCTGAACTTGTCATCATCCTTTGCATCAACATTTCCATGTGTGATGTTGAACATTGAACATCCCGATCAACAGCACATTTGCAGTTATTCCCTGGCCTGAAAGTTCTCAAAGCTCAACGCAGGCCCTGCAAACCTCAAAGTTGCTCAAGCGAAAATGCGACGAAAACAACGGAAAACGCCCCGTTTATAACCGGTGCAGACATCTCCACTCTTCTCCAGTCTGAAGTTACATCGCTTGTGTTGGGGAAAACGGCGAGCGAGCTCTATGGAATCGGAGGCAGGGACACCATTCCCACCCATTCCCCAATACACTCCAAGCGATCAAAAACCACCCCCCAAAACTGAAAAGAACAATCCAATGCCTCGTACTTGTCCAGTGGTTAGGGGGTTCCATGATGTTCCATGTTAATCTGAAGGGAAGTAAAGCCACGCTCCTCCCGTGGTTTCTGTCCAATTCTCTTGTCGTTTTCTGCCATGCGTCTTGGCGTTCTTTGCGGCCAACGCCTCCTCAAAGAACGCGGCCGGACCGGTCAACCACACACATCACGCTTCACGCGATCATGCCGGGGTCCTGATCGCTGGGCTCGTCGTGCCTCCGTTCTTCAGCCGTTTCTCTTAGCAAATTGACATCATAGTGAATGGCATAGACCCAACATGACCTAACTTAGCACTGTGGTAAGAGACTTCACTTCTTGTCTCTGCAAATGGTTCTCTGATGTTCTCTGTTGTCTCTTTCATGTTAGAACTAGTGGCAGTCACAGCTTCTGAGGGCTTGTGCCGTCTCCACCACCATGGAAACCAACGCATCCATGGAACCCTGGAAGGCCCGGCCCTACCGCCCACGGAACCCCATACCCGCGGGGATCCCTCGGATCCATCGGATCCGCCGAAAGCTAAACGCTCTGGTTGTTCATGTACCTTTTGGTTGGTACTAATAGGGAGCCTCTCCTGCCTATGAACCAACCCGCCAATAGTCAAAGGCCATCGATGCCACCTTCTTCAACAACATACCTTTAATATCCTTTAATTGGTCGGCATCGATAGATCGTCCAATTACTGCAAAGGAAGGTCATGTCGTATATGAGCGGTCTGTCAAAGGCCTCCTCTTTTCGTTTTCTTTCCTCCTCCTTGGCCTTGTCACTCCCAAACAGCTGAGCAAGCAAATGCAAGCAGGCTGAGCAAATGCAAGGGATTCGCCGATAAATGGTACAAACCGCCCATCACATTTCAATCCACATGGATTCGGAATCTTCTCAGAAGGCCTTCTAGTTGAAGCACACTAAGTACGAGTACGGAGTGTTCTTCAATCTTTCGAAATGGCAGGCATATCATGTGAAAACACCAGGCTTATCAGCACAATGGCTCACGAAATCCTCCCCCCATCCCATCATGGCTTTTGAGGTTCAACAACCCTTCTAAGGAGTCCAAAGGGTCGCAGCCAGATCCTATAAGTGGAGTCTCCACCGGTCCGACTGGTCCGACTGGACGACTGCTGTCTACGACCGTCCTCTCTCTCCCTGACGACGAGCGCCTTCTTTTCAGCCTCTTTGGCCTTCTTTTTTTCGTCCTTCTTGGATCCTGCGCGAGGACTTGTCGATGAGGTTCGACGAAGCATCCAGCAAGTTCGCTCGATGATCGGTGGTTTTGTGTGTGCGTCCTTAAGGTATTCTAATGTATTCGTTTAAATGATCCTCTAATATCCCGCCTTAAGTATTCTAGTACGTGCACGAGTTTTATGGAAAGAACACTTTATTTATGGCATGTGATTATGATTCTCCCACCATGAGTCTGCATGAGCTTCGACGGAACCACTGCTGCGCTCAACCCCCTCCTCCGCCTTCGCCCACGGCCTCGCCGGCCTCGGCCTCGCCAAACGGTTTGCAAAGCGCGACCACGTTTCAGAGGTCGAAGCAAATGGTTTGTAAAGCGATGACACAAAACACACCGGCATGGTGTTATTGGCATGAGGTGAGCCCAACCTTGCAAAACTCTCAATTCAATCCATTCCATGAGCTTATGCAATCTGGACTGTGTTGGCAGAGCTGCCATCCTCTGACATTGGCCGGGAACGATGGCTATCGACCCCCTGGGACGCAGAAATCGCATTCGGAATTGCGCTTCACTTCTGCACGCACCTCCAAACTCACCACGCCTACCTCTCTCCACAACACATGCTCGGCACTGGCCGACCACGCTGCAAAAATCGGCCGAAAACTCTCAGGACCTTGAGAGATGCAACTCCGACCAACTCCCGCCATTTCCTATAAGACAAGGGTCCTCTCCCGATGTTCAACCCTGTTCAACCCCTCAATTTAAACCTGGAAAAAAGGTTCCACCACAAATGCCCTAAAAGCTTAGCAACTGGGGTAGGAAACAAGAATAGGACAAAATTGGGAGGTCTTGAGTAAGGGAGGTGAACAAATGTGAACAATTCCTTTTCCATCTGCTGCGAAGGCACCACTTGACCTTCTATTCTTATAAGGACACGATCTATGACGGTATAGGTCTTTCCTTCACCTCTTTGGCTCATCATCACCCCTTCCACAAATTCATCCCTGTGATTGTAGAGTTTTCTCAATCTTTACCCCACCCAAATGTTTAAAAAAACAGGTTTGCAAAAGCATATACACACCGTGCCCCCCCCAAAAAAAAAACATGTAAAAACAATGTACAATGCACAATGTATGTCGTAATAGGCTCTTCACTCGCATCGCACCCATGCATCCATGATGCTTCCCTCCAAGGAAAGCCATCGAACCCCGCGCGTTCTTCCTGGCCCACCTTGGCAGCCTTGGGCGCTTTTCCCTCGCCCGCCTCGCTCGTTGCCTCGCCGACCCGAGCGGCCAAAAGCACAGAAAAGCACCAATGAAGATGGTGAAAAGCACCAGGGCTGTGACCATGTTTCAGGACTCGAGATGTAACATGATGCGCCCCCAACAACAAACAACAACAACAACAACAACAACAACAACAACAACAACAACAACAACAACAACAACAACAACAACACGGCTCAATCCCCCCAAAGCCCCGCATGCTCTGTTTTTGTTGGCAATCTTCGGGTGCGAACACCGGACACACAAATGGTGGGTGTGGCAAAAAGGTGTATTTTGGGTCTGATGAACACACTCCATGGGACTGCCATAGGACTGCCGATCAGGCCAGGGGTGGTGGACTGGGGTCAATTGATTGGCATATATGGCAGTCCCATGGGTCGTGTCTGGGTCTGATGAAAAAGAGTATGCCCGGACACTCAACGGTTCCACGCTTCGCCTGAGCTGGCTTCGCCGGCTTCGCCTGGCTTCGTGATGGAAACTGGAGGGTTGGATGGTCTGCTGCTAGATATCATTAATGTAGACTCTCCATGAATGAATCATTTGGACTAGAACGCATCTTCATATTGGAGGGACTATTGGAGGGTTTATTCATCAACAGCCTACAATTTAAGGCATACTTTTCGGCATGCCTGCACAGAACATGAACACCAATCCCGTGAATCAAGGGGGGATATCCGACCTGAGGTCCTTGTCACGCTGACAAAGAACGAGGCGGTGGACTGTGGACCCCGCCAAATCCACCTCATCTTCATCCTCACGTGGCTTTTTCAGGTTCGAGATAATTCTCAGACCTTGATTCGTACTTGTTGGTTGAAGGAAAAAAACATCTGCAGGAACCCCCCGGAAGTTGCGTGGGTTCGAACTCCATCGCTTCCAATCCTTATATATATAAACCAACATATACTTGACATGTCTGGACCCTTGATGATCCTTTGGAACAAATTGAGAAAAGCACGAGTCTGGAGTCTGGAGTCGAAAGTCGATATGACAGTCGACATCAGTGTCGACTGTCGACTGTCGTCACTCGCTTCTCTTTGCATTAACCAATCCTGGCCGACCAGGCTCCTCCTTTGGAGCCCTCGAATTTGCGAGGCCTGCGAGGCCATCCCATCTGGGCTGCCAACTTTGGGCTGCTCAAACTGGGCATATGTAAAAGCAACATGTAAACACTCAGGGCACTGACACGCTCACTTCAACCAAGCCCAATCCAACCTCCCCCAAATCTAAAAAACAACCTCCTCACGTCCAAAAGCGCTCCCTTTGCCGAAAAGTCCTTTCCAGCTTCGGAGAGCGTGCTCCGCCGTCCGGTTTTCCCGATTCCTCCACCAAGTGGCGCTCTTCCGATCATGGTCAGACCATGTCAGACCCGCCGGTGCCGCGAACTCACCGGAACTCGCCGGTCAAATCCACTTCCACGATGGAGGAGGTCGAGCCGCCGCTTCGCGACCGCGACTCCTCCTCACTCAGCTGGTGCTTCAAGGTCTCGTTCTCGGACTGCAAGCTCCTCGGAGCTGGACGGTACGCTCCGAGCGGAGCTCAGATGCAACTGGGCTCAGATGCTCGAGGTGCATCACCGCGTGGTCGACTTGAAACGTTGACCACTTCAAAGCATGTGCATCAGCTAAAGGAAGCAATCATTGGAGACCTTGCAAGTTCACCGGTGGGAATTCTTTGGGCCCCTTGGTTGCCACCCCACACCATCGTCGTGACAAGTTCGCTGCGGGGGCCCAAAGAGTCCAACGAGTCCACGGACGTGAAGGGAGGAAGGTGAAAACACCAGTCAGGGCCGCGAACGGCGGGCGGCTGTAGCGCCTGGTTCTGCTTCACCAGTATGATTCGAAGTGGAGGCCGGCAAGCAATGTGAGAGTTGACTTCCTGGTATCTATCTGGTGTTGGGTGAGATATCTTCGCTGGTATCTATCTTCCTGGTATCTATAGATGTATCGACATCTATCTATCAGGTCTATCTGAAAAATGACTTCCTTTGATGATAGACACCGAAACTACCATCATTAAACGGCCTACGGTGTTGCAGATGGACCGCTGCATGTTGACATCTACGTTTCAGGTCACGTCCTGAAAGACCTGCCATCGGCCTTTCCCAGAGTTCTCCGTCCTCAAACCTCCTCTGTCTGCGTTTCTAGCCCTGCGCATCGGTCCTGTTCAATGACCGCGCATCTGCCAGGAGGCGCCTTAAGGACTTTTCCTCGGCTCGGCGTACGTAGTCCAGAAGTTGGCTGGCACAACATGCTTGATCACCGAGGAAGGGTCCACCCTTCTCAACTCCCATGGCAATTTGAGGAACATCGTTGGAGATCATGTATTTATATAAGATTATATATATATATACCTGAATCTTCCTAGGGCTGCACTTTTTGCGCCTCCAACCTAGAAGGCGCCTCTAGGAACTGAGAGGCATTTTTTTTGCAAGAGGCGATTCTTGTGTTACATAGATTTCTCCCCAGTTATGTTGATAGAACATATGACATTATGATAACCGTGATAACAATGAAACTTATACACTTAACCTATAGGAAAAACACCACAAACCTCGAACCATGAACCAACACATAAGTTATATGCATTCAAAAGGTTCAAGCATGATAAACCGTGAAACACATGAAGGCATGATAACTCACTGTGGAAAATTGACCGCACACAACATGAAACTATATATATATATATGAACTGCTAATTTTCCACTTGGATTGGCCTGCGAAAAATGACCCCCACAAGTCCGACTTTCGCCTTCAAAACCTGCATTTCAGGCAGGTCGAACCGGACTTGTGGGGGTCTTTTTTGCAAGGAAAATTGCAGTATGAACATGATATCGCGCAATTTGATAAACACACATGAAAACATGCAACACATGAAAACCACATGAAAAACCTGAAATACATGAAAAACATGAAACATATGAAAGCCACATTAAAAACATGAAAGCACAGGAGAGCCACATGAAAAAGATAACACATGAAACAGATGAAAAACACAAAATACACGCAAACAAGCATTAAAGCACATGAAAAACATGCAACATATGCAAAAACATGAAGCACGTGAAACAACGAGAGGCGGAACTTCCCGGGTAAGAGGCGGAACTTCCCGGGTAAGAGGCGGAATTCCCAGGTTATGAATTTTTGGCATAATGTTCAATTAAGTCGACAGGTTGCCGCTTTCAGGCTCGTCTCTAATCGAAAGGGGAAATGGCGTATCAGCTTCAATCCCGTGTCTTTTCGAGTTCGACACTGATGGCTGGTTTGACGTTAGTGAAAGAAGAGAAAGATGTGGACAAACTTGATGGAGACGATGCAACCCCGATGTCAGAGCTGCAACAACCGCAGGTGGGGCTGTTCGTTTCTATAGGTATTGATACTCACCTCTAGTCAGTGTTTTGGTCTGAACATTTCCTGGCTAAACATGTTAGCTTTGTTTTCTGCCGGTTGCAGGCGCTCAGGTTGCAAATCCAGCAACTGCCTACTCCTATGAACTCTGCCTTGAAAGACCTCCAAGCGCCAAACACCTCGGAGAGTTATATACGTCTTGCCTGATGATGAAACTCAAACGGCTGGTTTGGGCTTGGACGCAGTTGCTAGCAAGCATGATGAAACTCTGTTTGCTTGAGTTTGACCGAAAATCTTTTATAATGTTGATATCATGTTGGTAGCTGTCGGCAGCAGCAGCGGAAGACCACCAAAAACATTACAAATGACAAGATTCCCTTCTACCACAAAAGCACGAGAGGCTGTTTTTGTTCTAAGCGGCAACTCTTGAATGGAGAGGCTAACATTTGAGCCTCTCTGCTAAGAGGCTGAGAAAAGCAACCACCGGAGGTTTAAGGTTGGGTGGTGCTTGCACCATGTTTTACTGAGGGTATACATGTCTGGGTGTGGCCTTATAGACCCTAAACTGCTACAGCTAAAAACACTCACACTGCCACAGTTAAACTCTCACACTGCCACGGCTGAACTCGCATACTGCCACAGCTGACCTCTCACACTGCCACTGCTGAACTCGCATACTGCCACAACTGAACTC